TCTCAAGCTTTCCTCAGAATAAAATAGAAAAGTCAAAGTATTTCCTCACAAGTACTTTTTAAGAAATTGCCTCACCAATTTGGGCAAAGCATTAATTATAAAACAGTGTTCTTAAAATCTAAATTTACGTTGTACTGGACTGTGGACATTTTATAAGGCTCCATAGTTCTATCATCCATTTGTAAGTCAGTTACAAAGTCAAGTCCTAGATATTTTTTTTTAGCAAATCAAAAGCAAATAATTCGGTACAATAGTCTATAACTCCTGCTTACACTAACATAATAAACATTTGCTAACAGCCATGACAGCAACCTCTTTAAATGAGTTGTTGCCAAATCTATTACAAATGGTGCACACTGTACTAATTGCTGAAACAAAACCAAAAGGTCCTTTATCTGATCTCCTGATCTTGCAACTTTGCTCTTAAAAGTTGTTCCACTTTGGAAATCTTTCTCCAACCAAGAAGAATTTTTTTTAAAAAAAAAAACAACCCCCATTCAGAGCTGCTGATGTTAACCAAAAGTTCTGGCAAAGTTGCTTTTGTTTGGAAATTCTTTAATAACTCATAGTAACAAACTTTAGCATCCATATGTCTTCCATTTCATTGCATTGCGCTGAATTGTACTGCAGTTTTCCCTTGACAAGCATGTTTTCATAAAATCTGGCAGACGCTTTGCCTTTTGTCAAACCATTTTTTTTTTATTTTGCAAAATGCTGAATTCTGGCCACACCCTGAACATGTAGTCCATTACCAGTATCTACTGAATTAAAGCCGTGATGTATAGTCAAGGTTTGGGATGGAGCCAAAATTCTGGAAGGTCAAAGGAAACCAATGTGAATTTCCAGACAACTTTCGAAGGCAAGGAATCCTAGCTGGAATTGAACATGGTATGTTTGTAAACTATACTGAAACCTCATTTTAATAAAAGCCATTCATGAAATATTTGACCAAGTCCATTCATATTTATGGTTCACATACCAAGGCTTATTGGCAGCAAAATTCCATAAAAGAATAACTCCGTAAGGATGAGGAGGAGGGAGAAAGAGCAATGATTTCACACAGCTGAATTCAGAGGGTGAAAAATGTGTTTGTGGTCAGCCTTATAGAGTAGACTAGACCAGGGGTAGGCAACCTTGGCTCTTTTATGAGTCGTGGACTCAGGAATTCTGGGAGTTGAAGTCCACGAATCATAAAAGAGCCAAGATTGCCTACCCCTGGATTAGACTAAGAAACCAGTGCCATGTACGTCTAAAACTACTTTGATTAGAATATCTAGAGTAATCAAATCCTGAGAGTCTGAACAGGCTGCCCTCCTCTCTCATGTTATCTTCGTATGAATTAGGGAGGGGTCTTTGTGAGATGCTTACTCAAACCAGTTTCTTGGAATAGACTCAAACTTTGCTTGTTTGACGGTTGCTTGGTAACAGCTTTTCCTTCTGTACTTCAAGGCCATTCTCTATGTCCTCTACCAGTTATCTGCCAGGCCTTCAAAGATGTGGGTGCTCCATTACTGGAGGTTTTTAAGATGAGACTGGACAGCCATTTGACTGAAATGATACAGGGCCTCCTGCTGGAGCAGGGGGTCGGAGTAGAAGACCTCCAAGGTCCCTTCCAACTCTCTTATTTTGTTAAGAAAATAAGTCATGCTCCGGCAGAGCAGTTCATGGGAAACAGCACAAATTGGGAACACAATCTTTTGTGTGTTTCGTGGTGAAGAATTTTTTTTTTCAGGCTTCTAACAGTGATCTCCATTCCAAATAAAGCCACAAGATGAGATCATGTTTGGTGCTGGAAGATAGCAGGGAGAAAAGGAAGGGGGGGGGGAGAGGAGAAGACTACATATTTTAGGACTTTTCTCATGGCAGCGTTATGACCTTTTCAGCCTATTTCCAAGATGTAAACTGTGTTTGACTTTGGGTGAAATCAGAGTTCCTGCAGGGGTGAGAAAAGAAACCCAGAAACATTTGGAGGAAGAAATGATTTTTTATTTTATTTTTTGGCAGCAAATGTTAAGACAAGGTCCTACATTGCGCTCAACCAATTGTTTGCAAATACACCCACAGATTCAATTTCTAACAGTTTGTTTGTTTGACTGATTGATTGATTGCCCAAGCCAAAATAGAAGAGTTCTTTAGTCATCAATTTTGTCCTAACTGTCATTCTAACCAGTTATCCAGGGGTCATTTTTGTTTTGTTTCACATGAACTTCTCCCTCTCCATCTTCTCCCATCTTTCTCTTCTTCCCCCTCCTGCCTGATCTCCATGCATTCCCTCCATATAAATCTCTGATTTCCTTCCTCTCTTTAAAATGAATTAGGTCAGGGGTCTTCAGACTTGGCCCTTTTATGACTTGTGGACTTCAACTCTCAGAATTCCTCAGCCAGGCTGAGGAATTCTGGGAGTTGAAGTCCACAAGTCATAAAAGGGCCAAGTTTGAAGACGCCTGAATTAAAGAGACAAAAGTAAATAACAGGATCCATCTTAGATCAATGTGTTCATTAGGATTCAGATCAGCTGAATACATTTTGGGAATTAAAGTCACAGCAATCTGGAAGATCCCAGCCTCAGAATAGCTGCTGTAGCATGGTGTGGTGATCCCTCAAATACTGTACTTTCTAGGACTCAATAGGCAAAGGCAACTTAATCAGCTGATTGGCATATTAGTAGATTATTAAAGATTAAAAGATCATTAAAATAATGGATGGAAGCATATCAAAAAGAGATACAACCTAGAACAGGGGTAGGCAACCTTGGCCCTTTTATGACTCGTGGACTTCAACTCCCAGAATTCCTGAGCCAGCCGTGCTGAGGGGAAAGGGAGAGGATTCCAAGCTGAGCCATGCTGGCTCAGGAATTCTGGGAGTTGAAGTCCATGAGTCATAAAAGAGCCAAGGTTGCCTACCCCTGACCTAGAAATTTCCTGAAAGTGACACCAATTAATCAGTGGAACAGCTTTTCTCCAAGAATTGCAGGTGCTCCTCCATCAATGGAGTTTTTCAAGAAGAGACTGGACAACCGTTTGTCTGGAATGATATAGGATCTCCTGCTTAAACAGGGAGTTGAATTAGAAGACCTCCAAGGTCCCTTCTAATCATATAATTTTATGTTCTATGTTCTAAGGCTAAGCAACATTATGGTCATGACATGCCATCCCTGAAAAGGCTAACTTAGCATTTCAGTGCCAAGATAAAGCTGTTGTTGTTTTTTATTTAATGTACCCAAGCATCTCAAACCTATTAAGCACGCTTTATCCTTTCTGCTGAATGTTAAGACTTTTGCTTTAATTTCTGTTTCTGTACTGATTTTATTTTATTTGGTAATGTTCTACCCATATATGTATTATGCAATGTCTCGACAATGCTCAATTTCTTTTTAAATAGTGGGCAGGGTTGAAAATATCCTGATTAACTGATCGGCCAGCCTCTTTTGAGACCCTAAATCAGCCACAATGGTCAATCAAATTCCCTTGGCTTGACACATGTTTTTTTAGTTTAGTTCAAGTCACAAGCTTTATTTAAGTTGCAAGCGCTTAAATAAAAAGGGAAAAACCATTCAAGCTATTGAAAATGGGTAGGATGCTGAATTTAAAAAGAACGTTTTGTCGGAGCAATGCAAAGATTAAGACTTTAGCTTGGTTAAGAAATGGATGTAATAAATTTGGAAGAATTAATGGCTTCCTTCACACTGTCTCCGATAAAGCTCCAGGAGTCCAATCTGATAAAGAATATTTCGGAAGTTCATACTAGAAATAAACTCTGCTGGTGTCGTGTTCTTTTGCCCCAGTCTGCTAGCTGAAGACCAAATTAAATGGCTATCAATTTTGCTAGCTGTAGACCAGCCCACTCAAAATCACCGGGGTGTTTTTAGAGCAAAGCAATGGAACAAAGATAGAGAGAAGAAAGAGAGGAGGGGTGGGTGGAGGAGAAGGAAGGGGGGGGATAAAAAAAGAACAATAAAGCTGAAATGTATGGAAAGGCAAATAAATCACAACGGCTAAAAAAGGACATTTCCAGATGTGAACTAAATTCGTTTACAAAAAGACACTTGTGAAAAAGGTTTGTTTATTCAATGCCCTTTCACTGAGCTGCAGAACGATCACCCAGGACACCCCCCCTCTCCACCCCATTTTTCTTTCCAAAGTGCAAAGGCAGCTAAATGATGAAGCCTTTAGCATCAATTAGGGACAATAATTGGGGACATACGGGAGTATAAAAAGCGTTCAGTGGCACTTTGCTGCTCTCCCTGCATCCGAAGAAACTGGCTGACGAAGGATGAGTGCCACAGAAGCACTGGAGCCTGCAAAAGGCCATCAAGGTCTACACAAAAAAAACATGGTGTAGTTCCAGTGTTCACTATTCTCATGGGGCATTTGAGGAGCCCTGGCCCCAATACACTTCCTAGCACGGTTAGGAAAGGCTGGGTTAGCCATAGTAGTAACTGTGAGAGGGACCTCGGAGTCCTAGTGGACAATCACTTAGATATGAGCCAGCAGTGTGCAAAACAGGGACTTAAGACTTGATCTTCCCCCAACAGTGACTAGAACGGAGTCTGGAGGAAAGAGAAGAACCACATCTCCAAACTTTCTAAGCCGGTCTAGAAGGTTAATGGACACACACTGTTTTATTGTTTTCTTTAGTTTTAATGTTGTGAGCTCCCCAAGAGTTTTATGGAGTCGGGGGAGGGGAGGCCTCTGAAGTAAGTGAATGAGTGGGTATCAATTTCACCTGAGCAGGTCATCCCTTCCTCTAGTCCAGGGGTCTCCAAACTTGGCTACCTTAAGAGTTGTGGAGTTTAACTCCCAGAATTCTGGGAGTTGAAGTCCACAAGTCTTAAAGTGGTCAGATTTGGAGACCCCTGCTCTAGTTATAGAATCTCATCTGATAATTCCAGCCTAGTGTTAAACCAAACAATTAATGGTCTCACTTCTGCTACTTCTGTCTACCCAATCAACAGCACTGATTCATTCAACTCTCGGCTCGGTCTCGTCTACGAGACATACTTTCTGCTCAAGCCACCCTGAAGACATCTTGTCACCTCCAGGAGCCACTACAAAGCTCCCAATACCTGCCAGTAGCACAGGGGGTATTCAAAGACCTTTCAGAAAAGGATGGTCTTCACTCCCCAACGCACCTCCTTCAACATTCTTCACAAACAATTTCCTCTGGCCTGTCACCATCTCTCACTTTTGCCCTGATCTATATATCTCATCTATTTATATCTGCACCCCTGAAGTATTTACTGCTAAGTACTTTCTATTTTTGGTCCATCCTGTTCACATTCAACCAACCATAGTGTATCACTCAGCAAGCCACAGCCTGGCCTCTCCACCGCTTGATCTCAATCAATTGGCCAAATTAATCAGCACCTTGCATTTATTCCTTTTCGCGGGGGAACAAGAAGTACAAATAAAGCACCAATACACTTCTGACATTGATCAGAATGCAACTACTTTCTCAGAATCTGAAGTCCACGAGTCATAAAAGAGCCAAGGTTGCCTACCCCTGCCTTAGATCAATACCCAAAATACATCTCAAGTGCTGGGAGTGTGTTTGTTCTAATACTGTAGTAGAATGTAGACCTCAAACTTCTGCTCCATACAAGAGCATAGGGGTAACCTTAGCTTTATATACTTTGATTAATGGGGTTAGGGACACAAGGGAAGACAGTGAAAATGAGCTCTTCCCAGGGGGGGAACTACCTGCTCCCCTCTCCCCAGAGAATTTGAGAAAATTTCTCCATCCCCTGGGGCAGAGGTAGGCAACCTTGGCTCTTTTATGACTCGTGGACTTCAACTCCCAGAATTCCTGAGCCAGCATGGCTCAGCTTGGAAACCTCTCCCTTTCCCCTCAGCATGGCTGGCTCAGGAATTCTGGGAGTTGAAGTCTACGAGTCATAAAAGAGCCAAGGTTACCTACGTCTGGCCTAGGCCGCTTTATGACTCGTGGACTTCAACTCCCAGAATTCCTGAGCCACCATGGCTCAGCTTGAAATCTCTCCCTTTCCCCTCAGCATAGCTGGCTCAGGAATTCTGGGAGTTGAAGTCCACGAGTCATAAAAGAGCCAAGGTTGCCTACCCCTGCCCTGGGGAAATGCGCAGCAGCTATCCACCTATTTTAGATGCTCCAAACGTGCTCTCCAGCACTTATTTCTTTGAAGATGATTGGACCACGACAAAGATCTCTTGAAAGGATCTCACAATATACTGTGTCAAGAGGACAGAGTGCCACCGATATATTGAGGGAAGGGTCTCTCTCCCTGGTGCTGAACTACACAGTTCTAATACTGAGGGCTGCTGGCCTGTGTCATTCAATCCATCCGTCTCTCCTTGAACAGGCAAGCAATGGCAGGGAAGCTTTCCCAAAGCTGTGTTTTAAAAATAAAATTTAAGACACCTGAGAGGCAAATCTTTAAACTTTCCTAATTCGTGTTCAGACCAACCTCTGATCTCAGAAGAGCATTTCTGGCTGCTATCCCTATCTCGGTTACTCAAGGCCTGGCCTCACTCATCTTTTTTCCACCTGGCCCTCAGTAGAAGCAGAACAATTTTTAAATTATTTTTCATCTCCCTTCCTCTTCTCCATCTCTTGCCACCACCCAAGGAAGCTTTACAATCCAGATAAGTCCTCGACTTACAGCAGTTCATTTAGTGACCGCTCAACGTTACGACGTTACTGGAAAAAGTGGCTTGTGACCATTTTTCATGCAGAATCCCCAGGATCAAAATTCAGATGCTTGGCAACTGACTCATATTTATGACGGTTGCAGTGTCCCGGGGTCACGCAATCACCTTCATTCACCTTCTGATAAGCAAAGTCAATGGGGATGCCAGATTCACTTAACAACCATGTTACTTATTTAACATCTACAGCGATTCAGTTAACAATTGTGGCAAGGAAATGGGCCAAGGCTCACTTAACAACGGTCTCGCCTAGCGATGGAAATTTTGGGCTGAATTGTGGTCGTACGTTGAGGACTACCTGCACTTGAAATTTTCTTTCAAATTTCTCCTGATGGTGTTTTTGAGTTTATGGTTTTCTGTTTTCTTTCACATCTCCCCCCCTCCCCCCATCATTTGAAGGTTTTCCTGGCTGCCTGATTTTTCCCTTGGGAGGAGATCCCACTTGGTTTTTTTCCTGGGACTGAGCTGAACGGAAGAGAGCTAGTGAGGACTGGATAGTGAAGAGCAAGAAATTCAAAGATACTCTCTAGGCCAGGGGTAGGCAACCTTGGCTCTTTTATGACTCGTGGACTTCAACTCCCAGAATTCCTGAGCCAGCATGGCTCAGCTTAGAAACCTCTCCCTTTCCCCTCAGCATGGCTGGCTCAGGAATTCTGGGAGTTGAAGTCCACGAGTCATAAAAGAGCCAAGGTTGCCTACCCCTGCTCTAGGCCCTTACTCACCACAGAGGAATAAAAATATCACACTCCAAATTCTCTTTCATCTTTCAAATACACCTCATACTGGGGTTAGATGTAAGTGTATGACAAGTTGGGGTTTTTTTAAAAAAGAACTGCAGAATTGCAAAAGATAAAAGGGATCATCCAGTCTACCCTCTGCAATGTGCAGGAAATGGAATAAAAATATTACTGCTAAAATACTACTATTAGGCAGAATGTGATCCACTGGGGGCAAAATACAGGCTGATTTCTTCCTGTGCTACCTATGCTAACTGTGAGAGGGACCTTGGGGTCCTAGTGGACGATCACTTGACTATGAGCCAGCAGTGTGCAGCAGCAGCAGCAACCAAAAAAGCTAATACAATCCTGGGTTGTATAAACAGAGGCATAGAATCAAGATCACGCGAAAGTACTAGTACCGCTTTACAAAGCTCTAGTAAGACCATACCTGGAATACTGCAGCCAATTTTGGTCACCATATCACAAAAAAGATGTTGAGAGTTTGGAAAAAAATCAGAGAAGAGCAACTAAGATGATCAAAGACCTGGAGGCTAAAACATACGAAGAACGGCTGCGGGACTTGGGTTTGGCTAGCCTAAAGAAAAGAAGAAATAGGGGAGACATGATAGCGGTGTTCCAGTATCTGATGCAGAGGGGGACAGGTTGTTCACCAGAGCACGAGAGGGAAGGACGAGAAACAATGGTTGGAAATTGATCAAGGAGAGAAGCAACCTGGAATTAAGGAGAAACTTCCTGACAGTGAGGACAATCAACCAGTGGAACAGCTTGCCTTCAGAAATCGTGGGCGCTCCATCACAGGAGGTTTTTAAGAAGAGACTGGACAGTCACTTATCTGAGATGGTATAGGTCCTCCTGCTTGAGCAGGGGGCTGGACTAGAAGACCTCCAAGGTCCCTTCCAGCTCTGCTCTGCTCTGCTCTGCTCTGCTCTATTCTATTCTATTCTACCTTAAATTCTATTTATTTATTGACTTGCTATTGAATTTCTATAGTGCCCAAACTGACACCCTGGGTGGTTTACAAGAATTCCAAAATAGCAATTTAAAATATATGCAATGCATTGTGAAAATCCACACTACCAGCCCTGACTAAATTGCTTTTAAAAATCTTCCTGAAAACTAGCGGGAAAAGGCCCAATGAAATTTCAACGAACAAGTCTGAAGCCATACGTGAAGAGGACTAACATCCAGCCCACAGCTTCCTCCCTTCGTACAGGGATACGCCCCTAATTCGAATCCTTTTCAATGAGCTGAGTGGACGTGAAGTTTTATTTTGGATAAGTTAATCTCCAAGCTAAGAAAAATGTTTCCTTCAGATAAACACATGTATTAGAGTGGAACAAAGTTATGGGATTATTGGAAGAAACAACGGTGTTTTCCTCCTAACTGGTTGCCAAGAAAATAGCATGAATGTCTCCTTGTCACCAGAAATCAAGCCGAATCTTTGGGAGACTCTTGCGTTAACTGAAGTGAGAAGTCAGCTTTCCTTGATATCCAGTTGGACTTGCCTGGATGATGCAGCTGAAATTCCTCTTTGTGGGATGTTGTTTTATGCTTTCCTTCAAAACTCTGATCTATGGGGAAATAATCTTGGTGTGCAGTCAAAATGAACTAATTGAAAATAATTCCCTGGATCTTTCAAGAATCCACAGGCCGAGAAAAAGACTTGCAAATGAGAAGGTCTGTCTGTTCAAAAAGCTAGATGCTGAAAGGCCCAATTGAGGTGAAGAGGCCTCAAGTTTGCAACTGTGCTTTAGGCAAATAAGTGTGATGAAAAGGATAAACAAACAGCCGGACAATTCAGGACAATCAAAGGACAAAATTAAGTGGACACTAAAAATAACCGCAATGCCCCTTTCTCTCTCTCCCCCCCCTCTCGATATCTTAACATGCCAAATTATCTCAACTGCTGCTTGAGAAGACAAGAACCAGGAACCTCAACTGAAGGTCAGGAAACAACTGTACCACGTCTTTTCTGGCTGGGCAGCATTAAATACCCAGTGAATTCATTGCACTGATGGAAACGGAGGGAATAAAGGGCTCAGCCTCTGTTGACCAAAGGCAATCTTTGCAGACGCAGAATATGAAAAAGGTGGTTGCTTTCGAACTTGGGTGTTGGAGAAGATTCCTGAGAGTATCATGGACAGCCAAGAAAGCAAAGTGATGGATCAAACAAATCAACCCAGAATTCCTCCCTCCCTTCAGCTATAAATGGCAAGGCTCAAATTATGCAAAGAACCAACTCTATGGAAAAGGTTGTAATGCTGAGAAAGATGGAAGGAAAGAGAAAAAGAGGATGATCAACAAGTAAGGTGGATGGACCCAGTTACAGCGCAATGGGTGCACTTTTGGGAGATTTAAAAGAACAGGCTAGGGCACAGGTCGGCAACCTGCAGCTCCAGAGCCGCATGTGGCTCTTTGAGCCTTCCCCTGTGGCTCCCAGCCTCCTCTGCCATTTGCAGAGAGACACAGAGACAGAGAGAGGCATTTGCCTTCCCCCCCCCCTCTCTCTGTGTTTGTGTGTGTGTGTGTGTGTTTGTGTGTAAAAAAGAGAGTGGACTCACGGTGTTCTCCGACGAGCTGAAAAGCTTATTGGGGGGAGCTCCTCCCTTTGCTGCGTCTCTGCAGGAAGCAGGAAACAGGAAGCAGGAAGGGCAGGAGAGAGCTAGCTAGCCCACCTATGCTGACTCAGGAATTCTGGGAGTTGAAGTCCATGAGTCATAAAAGAGCCCAGGTTGCCTACCCCTGAGCTTGTTGGAG